TATATATATATGGATCAGTATAATTTTGTAATTATTATATACAATACTAATAATAAATAATGATATGTATTTCGTCACAGAACACGATCTCAATTAATTTCTCAATTTATTAGTATCACGTATAAAAATAGAATTTCGAAATAAATTTCACCAAAAACAGGGAGAATCGTCTAAAAATAAAAGATATAATTAATTAAACCATTCGTGTCAGAGTTTAACTTAGTGACAGAATAACGTTTCTTCACTGGAAAACAAAGAAAAAAAAAACGATTTTCACGTGACCTTTATACCTCCTACAAGCGATTTGCATAGGAAAATGAAATTCTTCTAACAGATTACACGTTTTCTGAAACTCTTTCATTTGAAACGCTTTCATGGTTGAAAAAGTAATTTGAAAATTATTTTAGAAGACCGATCGGAATCGATTAAACGATGCTTGCTTGTAATTTGTGTTTTATATTTAGATACTGTTCCGAAAGATTAAGTAACAGAGGAGAACATTGATTTGCGAATCTTTTTCATGTCTGTGCTATATAGTCGCTCTAACCTTTAACACTGAACGAGCAATTTATGGGGACACACATGAATCTATAAACTCGTCGGATAGATAATATTAAGGTTATTATCATAACTCGACTGCGGATTTCATGCATTTATAGAGAGAATATAAATTTAGAGCGCCATCATAGAAGAAATAATAATCGAGTAAATGAATGTTGATGTTCTTACAATCTTTCTTGGGACTTTAACTAATTATTTTAATTTGAAATTATACTTAATAATTAATTATACTTAAAAAAGACGTACTTAGATATCGCATTTATTACAATACTCAGCATTTTCTATTTATCTCTCATTTCTTCTGTCGAGTTTGTTTGTTTGTGACTCGAGGATTAATTAAAAGATATGACACATAAAAAATATGAGTTCGCACAAATATCTACAAATCTAATTAGAAAGCAGTCGTAAATAATATACATTTATTTATATAAATACACGTTCAGTTTATTTTCTTTTGTTTTTTCAGAAAAATGGATTACGATCTTATTTTCACGTTTCTCTGTTTCAGAGTTGATCAACGTGGCTTTCTATTGGCTCAATTAATAAATTCATCGAATCACAGATCGATACTCCAGTAATGCAATAACGCTTAGACGTCTTGGCTGTTAGATACTCAATTATGCACAACGTCCACAGCGTTGAAACAGAACACTACGAGCTAAGTTGTACGGTCGATCACTTACCGGAAGTCCTCACGCTCCAATTCGTACGTTTCGCCGAGTATCGGGTTGAAGGGTTTGCCAAGTCTCTCCCAGTTCGAAGCCAAAGCACTCACAGCGAATGCAGCGACGTACTATATCAATACCAATAACAATCTTAACGTTTTAACAAAAAAAAAAAAAAAAGAAAAAGGAGTTCTCTTCTTTAAACAAATCTTCGTCGAGACGAAGTAATTTGACTTTTCTTCTAGATAACAGCGAGGCATGATGCAACAACACACGCAATGAATACGACAAGGGAAATTAATTTAAATTTTTATTAAATTTAGTGCAGATCAGTAGATTTTTCATCATAGTAATTTATCGTTAATAGTCGAACATTTTACACTCTGCAACACTGGTCTAGTTTTGAAGTCACACATTGGTACTATAGTTCTTGACTGTTTCATTTTTGGCCACAATGTGACGAAAGCCTGTTCCTCGTAACGAAGGAAATTTTTAGAAAAATTTGCTTTGATTGATCATTTTTTAAATTTCAATTAAACTTGAAATTTCAACTAATTGTATCTAAAAATTGAAAGCACAGTGTTCTTCGTTCAGAAAATTTCTTCATATTCTGATTTCAGAGAAATCAGAGTCGAAGGGTAAAGTTGAAGTTGATCGAAAATATACAGAAGTATATAGTTTCGAGTTATGTAAATTTTCCCATACACCTACGAAAATATGCAGAATTTACCTGTAACCTTCCGATCGGAGTTTCTTCTTGGGCCGCTTGCTTAAGTAGTTTGGCGTATTCCATGTACTCGGCGACACGCTGAAGAAAGGATAGCGGTTCGTTGAATATGACCGGCATAGTGATTTTGCTTAGATCTTTACCCAGCGTTAATACCGAGCATAGGTTCACTTCCGAGTGGCCTGGGACTGGTAACGTTGTTCTTGAAATAATAAATTACATAAATATATATAGAGTGACTAATAAGAAAATAATACAAACTTGAGTCGCCTACAAAGATGTATAAAGGAGGCAATTTTTTTTTTTTTTTTTTTTTGAATTAACTAAAATTAAAACGAATCACATTGAAAGTAAAGTTTTGGAATTGAATTAAAATTAAAGTAAAAGTTAGAATGAAATTGAAATTAGACTGAGATAAATTGAGATGGGAATAAATAAACGAAATACAGTTGAGAGTGAAAATTAAAATCGAGATCACGATAAAAATTAAAATTGAAGTCACGATAAAATTGCAACGAAATTAAAGGTGAAATTAGAATTCTGGAAAAATGGATCTTTACGAATAGACCGCATTTGAAAGTTGTATGCTTTTGATCCGCGCAACTAAACGTAATTGATTGTTCAATAAACGACTTGTTTTGGCAACAATAATATCTAATCGAGGTCAATAAATCAGCCATAATCTGACTCGCGATTCTCAATCACGCCATTTAGAACCTTAATCGTAATCTACAATCAACATTCGTGATTAACGAAATTATTTAATCTACAATTGCTGACGTATCCCAACGTTTATAGAATCTTTTTACATTTTCAGATTTCATTGACAATGCAACTTTTTATTACACTGATTTACTAATCAATAATATTTGTAAATCGACAAGTTACAAGGATGATCGAAGGATGCAATCTGTGATGCAAAATTTCGCCTCTTCGTAATCAAACTTGTTACAATTACGCGAGGAAACATTTTTTTTTCCATACTAAAAATATTGGTCGAATTGCGTATGGGTTCATAAAATGTATATTAGAAATGTTACGAACAGTGAATTCGTCGATGCCAGTTGCTCTTGAAAGTTTCCCAACAAATTCTGGAAACTTCTCACGAATACATTTTACACGAAATATTCTGTAATTTTGTATTGCAACAAGAGATATTTCACTACATTTGATATTCCATTCCTCTTTTCATCTCCAATTCTCCTAACACAAAATTCATCATGGCTTTCTCCTCCAATTACACACGATTTTCACGAATGATTTATCCAACGTCAACGACGGTTTCATAAGATTCTAATAAGTCGACTTCAGGACAAAGCAACGAACATGATCCGGCGTTTTCTTTAAAAAAAAGAAGAGAAAAAAAAAACGCACCTGTACGGTCTTTGTGTTTTCTCGTTGGCCATCATAGACGAGCTTGCGGCGATTATCGAGCGTGGCGAACCGTGTTACTCGAAACAATCGTGCCCTCGGAGCGGCTCGTCCTGTCTCGCGGTCCACCCTCTCTGAACGACGATGTCGCGGCGACCAACGACATCCAGAACCCAGATATTCAGGGACCAAAGGTCCGCGAATCACGCCACTTCACTCCACATAGTCGCTTCTTTTCTCTCCCTGTTTCCTCTCTTTCAGTATCTTCCTTCTTTTAAATAATATTTAAAAATCTCCCGTTGTAGTTTCTCTTTACTTATAGTATATTAGAGTGTTCTATGTTCTATTATTGTATCTCATTACACTTGCAGCGTAGTATTCTATTCTATTGTAGCGTGTTCCGTCTTATTTTACTACTAGTGTTTTTTTTATTATTTAAAATTTTTTTTTTGCTATTAGATTTGGAACTTTTCCTCCTCTCTTTTTACAATATTTTTCACAGTATTTTTTTTTTTTTTTGGTATTTGGAATTTTCCCCTTGGAAGCTTTCCCCCTTTTTCTGTCCCAATATTTTGAATATCTTTGTAACTTTCCTTCTAAACTATCGTATCTGTTACGTGTTAAACGTTCCTGGTGTTTCTTTTCTTTTGTTACAGTCTACAATTCGATTTCGATGTTTCGAGTTTCTTCTAGCATCTGGAATCAGCCTTCACTTCTATCACACAACAGTACGTCGCAATATTTCTTTCCCTGTTACTTGAGATCTTTCCTCCTTCCCATTATACTGTTTCCCCGTTTTTCTGCTGTTACAACATTTCGAACTTCACGAACAACATTACTCCCCTTTTTCTCGCAAATCTTTCGATACTCGGAATACTCGAGTCCCTTAACACTTTCGATCTTCCCTCACCTCGATTGCAGCAGTACCTAGAATTTCTCAGCGCTCCTTTCATCCCCCATCGTCCGTTTAAAGCATTCTTTAATTCACCCTCCAAGATTGCAAGATTAAATTCACTCAGTTACGAGGAAGTTTGCGCGATCACGCGACCGGATGTACAAAGTATAGCGTACGAAGACGTTCAAAGCTCCTTCAGACGTTCTCCAAAAGTTCCACGTACGACCGTAACATCGTTGAACATCGATCTCGATTTTGTCAAACTCGTCGATCAATCTCAACTGAACGTTTGCGTTTTGTTTCGGTTCGAACAGCGTGGAGATTTCGAGGATTGTCACACTGATTGTTGATCAGGGGATGTGCGTGAATTCGAGTTGCTTGAGAGGAGGATCACGGAAGTCGGCGATCAGCTATATACACCTGACGGTGGACTGCACGCGTTGAGCATGCGGGCGTGACGGAGGGCTCCGGCGCACCCTCTTCATCCTAGTCGCGTCCCGCTCGCGCTCATTCCCCGATTTCTCGCGTCTCACTCGCCGCAACGGAGGAAATATCAATAAGTCGGAGCATGATCGTTGCGGCCCGAGCCCGACGCTCTTATTCGCCGGCCGACGAAGACGCGTATGCGCGCCGGTTCTCCAGCCATTTCAATTTTCAAAGTTTCCGGGATCCATGGGCGAGAAATTTCTGCCCGAACAATCCAATTTCAATCCACAAAGATTTATTTCATTTCTACAGATTTCATTTATTTACCTGCTTAACGATTTACGCGCGTTGCATTTTATCTACGATCAATCCTCATCGTGCGATTCTTCTTAAGGACGTGATTACACGAGTTTATAAAAATTTAAATAACCACTAGAAAATGAAGATAATGGTATAAATGAAAAAGGTAGTCACTGTAACGAGTGATCGTCGTATACACTTAGATTTATAATATTATAATATAAATAAATAATATTACAAGTATAAAAAGATAACAAGATAGATGGAAATAAATGGAAAGTAAATCGGCAGAACGTTTAAATAGCATGAAACAAATAATATTACAAAATGAG